CTGAAAAATTAATACTCCCTGTTTAAAATTGTATCTAAAATCACCTTAACACTTTTAGAGTGGGACTATTTATTTCATAGAGCTGTAAGAAAACTTTCAGAATTTTATAATTTTTTAAAAATTCTTTTCTAAACAGGTCATTTTTATTTTCTGGAAGGGCAAGCTGATGCTCTGCTTTGTGGAAATAGTTCTGATGCTGGGTAAGACCAAATTTCATCATATTATTACATTGTGTACAGATTAGACCCGTGTTTTTCAGATGTACGTTGGAGGGGGGCTGTATTTGAGTGACGATCTCCTTTCACGTCATTTTTTACACTGAACTGAGGATTTGGGTTCTTGGTCAGAGCTCAGTGGGTTGGTTACATGAGCTTAGTCTTTGCATGAATGAATCAGTAATTGGTATTAGTGTAGCTCCTGCCTGGATGAGAAGTAACAGACAAAAACACATGCTGTTTTGCAGTTCCAGCTGCATATATGAGTACTGACAGACTCAGAGAGTAAAAAACCCTGACATTGACATTAATGTCATGACATTAATAATTAAAGAAATTATTTGGAATATTATGTTTTAAAAGCTTAGATTAAACTTTTGACACTCATTTTTATGTGCCTTTATGTTGTTCTAGTGTCCTTTAAAATAATTTTCCATTAAAAATCTCAACTGCTATTATTTCTAGTCTGATTAACTAAAGAAAAATCCATTTTTTAATCCTAATCTTCTGCACATTCCAGGTGATAATATTAAAATAACTGTATATGATAACACCCAGTTTGTCTTCATAGGCAGTGCCCAGAAGGATATACGTGCGTAAAAGCTGGTAGAAACCCCAATTATGGCTACACAAGTTTTGACACCTTCAGCTGGGCTTTCTTGTCACTATTTCGCTTGATGACTCAAGACTTCTGGGAAAACCTCTATCAATTGGTGAGAATTTTTTAATGCAAAATAGACTATGTTTGTACCAATAATGCAAGAGGCATTTTCTTAGGCTATCTTAATTTTAACGATATGAAAAACAGAACTTTTTTTAATACATTCTTGCTTATAAATGTATTCTTATTTCCAGACACTGCGTGCTGCTGGGAAAACATACATGATATTTTTTGTTTTGGTGATTTTTCTGGGCTCTTTCTACCTGATCAACTTGATCCTGGCTGTGGTGGCCATGGCCTATGAAGAACAGAATCAAGCAACCATGGAAGAAGCAGAACAGAAAGAGGCAGAATTTCAACAGATGCTGGAACAACTGAAGAAGCAACAAGAAGCAGCTCAGGTAGAATTTATCACGTAGTAAGATAGAAGTGTACGAAAGTAATTTTACTAGAGATATTTACCCTCTGCTTTCTGAATTTGAGTTATAAAACATTCTGTTAGGCTTTCAACGACAGAGCTAGCTTTTCTGTTCTGCACTGAAGACATTGTACTGTGAATGATCCAGTCTTAATCAAGGAAGAATATTCAAAACTAGGTATACGTTATTCATTATGTTTTTCTTAGTCTAGTGTCATTAATACAGTCTGTTAGACTTCTACATTTAAAACCTATTCATGAAAGATGGAGAAAGGCTATGTTCAACGCATATCTTGAGTCAACTGAGTAATAAAAATTAGAAAAACACTAAGGAGAGTGTATTCTATGGAAAGTGTTAAGACTGTTTGGACTAGAAATTCTATAGAAGTAAATTTAAAAAAAAAAAAAAACAAAACAAACAAAACACGATGTCATGGTTTGCTCAGTGACACAAATTCATTCTGCAACATGGCAGGCGGCAGCGGTGGCAGCAGCAGCAGTAACAGCATCTGCAGAGTCCAGGGAGCCCAGTGCTGGGGGAGAAGCAGGGGGCGTCTCAGAAAGTTCCTCAGAGGCATCAAAATTGAGCTCAAAGAGTGCAAAAGAGAGGAGAAATAGAAGGAAAAAAAGAAAACAGAAAGAACAGTCTGGAGGAGAGGAAAAAGATGAAGATGAATTTCACAAGTCTGAATCAGAAGACAGCATCAGAAGGAAAGGTTTCCGATTATCTATTGAAGGCAATAGACTGACATACGAAAAGAAGTATTCTTCTCCACATCAGGTATTGCATGTAGTTATTTTTAGTAGAAGCATACATTTAAAGCATCATAGGCTGTTACAAAACTACTTTACTCTTCCTGGTATCATAATATGTCCCTACTGCCTAAAGAAAAGAAACACTGAGATTTTCATTAAACTTTATTATTGTTGCCAGTGCTTGAGAGGAAGTGCTGTAGCTGCTAGATTATCTTGTAAAAAAACACAGAGAATTCAGTGTAACCTCATATCTCTATTCTTGTAGTAGGATTGTTTAAAAATCATATTAAAATATTCTCTGATTGATTCCATGAGGATGTTTTTGAGTGATTGTGTATTATCTAGACTTACTAAAATGCGACAATATTTTTCCATTATGATAGCCTCGTATTTTCCTCCTGTTTCAATGATGTTTGAAGGCTGGTTCAATATGTACAGGATGCTGCATACATGACATAGTGCATGTATAGACTCCCTTTTTTGCTTGATGATTATTGTGCAACCACACTACTCAGCAACTTTAACTGACGTGAGGAGAAAGGAGTGCTCAAATTTGGTTTTGTCTCAGAAATAACAGTGTTCAAGGATTCTTATCTGAAAAATATAAATATAATGAAGTACATAGAAAAATTTCATAGCAGCATTTAGCTTCTGGAAAAAATGGTTACTCTCATATAAGAAAAAAAAAAACCACAAACTGTATGCTATCCTAATAACAATGCTAAGTTTGAAGGTTTTCGCTAATAATCACAAATTTTGTTTGCCTGCAGTCTTTGCTGAGCATTCGCGGCTCCCTGTTTTCGCCAAGGCGCAACAGCAGAACAAGTCTTTTCAGCTTCAGAGGTCGAGCAAAGGATGTAGGATCAGAAAATGACTTTGCTGATGATGAGCACAGCACTTTTGAAGACAATGATAGCAGAAGAGATTCTCTCTTTGTGCCGCGCAGACACGGTGAACGGCGCAACAGTAACATTAGTCAGGCCAGTAGGTCATCCAGGATGCTGGCGGTGTTTCCAGTGAATGGGAAGATGCACAGCACCGTGGATTGCAATGGGGTGGTTTCCCTGGTTGGTGGACCATCTGTTCCTACATCGCCTGTTGGACAGCTTCTGCCAGAGGTGATAATAGATAAACCAGCTACTGATGACAATGTAAGAAAGTTTTAAATAGCTTAGGCATCGTGGCCTTTTCTTACTGCACCAGCCAGTGTTTTCTACAGAATGGAATCCTTGGCAATGCTTCCTGGTTGGTCAAGCTGTGAATGCTCCTGCATCTTGTAAAATCTTTAATAAATAAAACAGCTAAGATAGGTTTGCAAACTAAGCATTTACTTACAAATATTCTCATAACTAACGAATGCAATTCGCGTTTTCCTAGTAATAAAATATTAACTTACTTACACAGTCATAAAAGCATTATACTTTACTGTATTACTGTGCTATACTTTACTTTTGCTGATCTAAATGTCCGTCTGGCTATGGTCTGCAAATTTATAGTTACTATACAACTGAAAATAGTATACAAAAATATTATCATATAACTGCAATCAATATGATGCTGCTGTTACCACTGTATCAAAATTAGCATTGTTAGTTAATTTTGATAACATCAGCCCCATTAAAAATGTAAGGAAGTTGTCAATTCTTTATTATCATTTATTTCTCATTCTTATATGTTTTTCCATCCATTGCTGGTGGAATTCTGCAGTGTAGATAAATAGTTCATTGGAAGATCACATTTCAATACATACTTCCAAAAATACAAATTTCTGTGTGAACATATGTACAGCACATATTGCTGCCATTCTCTTACCATATCCAAGGTAAGAGAAGATGTCTCAAAAAAATTTCTTGCTTAGTTCGAAGTCATCTACTCACATTACTAAAAAAATACTAGCATGAGAAAGCATGAGGAAGTCAGGCTTTTCTTACTTGCTACAGTTTACCTAGGGAACAAGACTCTTGTGTTACAAACCCCAAAATATTCTGTCAAGCAGGAGCAAGGAAAAAAATACAATTTGCAAAAATTTTATACAATATTTTGAACTCAATCCTTTTCAATTTCTTTAAATCAATTTTCCTAGCTTGAATGAAAAAAATACAAAAGATAAGTAAATAAGCTCTCAGTCTTGAACAATAGGTAACTATTGCCTCATATCTTTTAAAATTATTTAAAAGATACTAAAAAGTAATAAAAGTCTGACATGGTAAAAACTGAAGTGCACGAAGCACGTATCCAAGCCAAGACATTAATAACAGGGTTCTATGTAGTATTTGCTTATCTTATGACTCCAACATGGTCTCACCTATTACTGTTCTGTGTATAGGGCACTGCTACAGAAACAGAAATGAGGAAGAGATTATCAAGCTCTTTCCACGTTTCTATGGACTTCCTGGAAGATCCAGCTTTAAGGGAAAGAGCCATGAGTATTGCTAGCATCCTCACAAACACTGTGGAAGGTGTGTGCTACACATAGCTTCACATTTAATACCTGTTTTTTCAATGGACTTCTGAAAATTTGAGTTGAAACTTAAAAACTGATTTAAAGTAGCTTAATTAACAGATACTCTCCCACAAATCAGCATGTATTTATCAGTAAACTCAAAGCTCTTTATTTATTAAGGTTATCACATAAGTAAGCATTTCTATCTCGTTGTTTTGCTACCATAATACCTCATGTGGTCATTAGAACTACAGAGTTATGTTTGATGGTCATAACTGAGTGGATGCTTATGCATATTAATCAGAACTATTTTACTGGACACAAAAAGGCCACTGAACAATATTCCAATATATGCAGCCATTGTTAAAATATGTATGTATTTTTAGTAGTTGCGTTTGTTCCGTTGCTCTTTAAAGAAGGGCTCTTCTAGGTGATAAAAATATGTTTTTCTTGAACTAGGAATTAAAATTATATTGAAAATTTTTACTAACCACCACAAATTTCAAAATAAAAAATATTTACATAGTAGAACTCATAGTAAGTGAGAAGAACAGGCTGAAGTGTAATCAAAGAATAATAAAATATATAATACAAATAGATGCATAAATTGATACTCACTAAAACAGTGATTGGAATACAGAGAAGCTGTACTTGATAGACAAGCTTTGAACAAAATAAATATATTTGATAACAATTTTCAAAGACATTCTTGAAAAGCCCTATAAAAAAACGTAACGGACATGCTTATAGGGGGTTAATCAGTACCAGTTCAGATTGACATCTTGATTGTTACAATTCATATAGGATTGAGCAATGTTAGAGCAATCACATAGTTACCTGTGTGAACTTTCTTTTTCCACAGAACTCGAAGAATCAAGACAGAAATGCCCACCGTGTTGGTATAAATTTGCAAATATTTTCTTGATCTGGGACTGCAGTCCACATTGGTTAAAAGTAAAACATATCGTCAACTTAGTGGTAATGGACCCATTTGTTGACCTGGCTATTACAATTTGCATTGTTTTAAATACACTGTTTATGGCTATGGAGCATTATCCAATGACCGATGAATTCAATAATGTACTTGCAGTTGGAAATCTGGTAAGTCTGCTGGGCTTTTTTGTTGATGATTTGGAAGGAATTGTGTCTGAAATAACTGAAATAAGGACTTTAAACAGCTTTTTTTTTTTTTTTTTTTTACCTTTTAGGAAGTAGATTTATTGAACATTTATTGGCTTCCAGAAGATTTTTGGAAATATCGCTGTCAACCCTTGCTCATGTAACTTAAGATACTGTAAAATCAATATATTGCAGTGTTCTGCTAAGCCAAATTAAAAATTTAAAAAATGGCACCAATGCTACATTAAGTAAAGTCCATCTTAAACAGAAGTTGATTTGTCTAACTACTAAACCAGGAAATGCAGTGCTTCTATGAAAAAGACACTATGGAAATAAACGTTGCGTTACTTTTTCAATCAATACAATACAAATCTTTAAATTATGAATGTATTTTTAATTGCTCTGTTTCCTGAGGAGAGGTTTACAATAGCTAAAAGAGCCATTTAAAAGCATTTATAGAATTTTCTTCTGTAAAATACTTTTTATGTGGATATGTGGGTTGTTTTCTTTATGTACTTGATGTAAAATTACGAAAAATATCCCATGGTACATTTTCGTAAAGTTTTTATATTTTTTATCATGAGATAATTAGCAAGACAACTTTTCCCTGTGTTGTCAGCTATATTTTCTCCCTTCTACTTCAAAAAGATAAATTATTAAAGAATTCAGGAGTTAATTTTTTTGTAGCTCTGATGCTTTTGAACTGACACTTTTGATCACATAGAAGTATCTGCAGCTGCAGTCCTACTTTGTCTCTTATTTTAAGAATTGATTTCTTATAATGGGGTTTTTAGTAATCCTTGTTTTGTAATGAGGAAAATAATATCTTGGATCATGTAAATAACTACAGGATTTAGAAGGGAGAATTAACAGATAAATGCCTAGCTGTTTTTCATATATTAAAGGGAAACTGAATCTCAGTTTCCTAGTAAAATGTAAAATCTTGTATTGTAGCATTTTATAGGTTTGTTTTCCAACCAAGAAAATGCCGTATAAATCTTGGCATACAACTGACTACAAAGGGAGTGCAAGAGAACCTGGCTATAAGCACCATGCTCTTCAGTCTTAGACTCCCTGACATAAACCCCTTCTCCAACATAGAGGCTTTCAGGGCTCACCTGCTCCAGTAGTTCTGCTTTAAAGCTCCTTGAGAACTTGACCATCCTAATTGTTAGGAACCTAAGTCAGCATTTCAAACTGTATTTATTCATTCCTACCTCTTCCTCAGTGATTCCTGTAGCTTAAAAAATAGTAACCTTTCTTTCTCCAGTATTTATATCTGGAATGTATTTGAAGACTGTAATGAAATCTATCTTGAGCATTGGTGTTCCTAGGCAGAGCATATCAGACTCTTCCTGTTCATCTCCTAACTATCCCAGTTAGATTATTCTGTTTAGCTGTCCCATTTTCTGTTCAGCTTGCTTGAAAATGAGTTACCAAAGCCAAAAAATAAAGGATTTCAGACCAGAGCTCAAGCAGCCTTTAACAGTGACTTAGCACATTCCTATCCTACAGGAAATTCTTCTAAGACTTCTCTAAAGCTACGCAGGGTCACTGCCTTGGTGGCTCTTAAATATGATTCCTACTTCATTCAGCATAGCATCCATGATGAGAAACCGTTACCAGCAATATCGTCTTTAAAATGCATTGATAATGCTCTTTCATTCCTGATATTAAAGTGATTGAGTCAATCAACTTCAACGAATTTACTGACAACACCCTGGCAGAAGTTCCTCAGCTTCAGCAAATTATTTATCTCAGTTGATCCCCACCTGTAATAAATAATCTCTGTTGAACTGAATGAGATTATGGCAGGTTATACCAGTGAAGGAGCAACCCCTCTGGAGTCTTAGACTTAGCCTCATTCATACTGCTGTATAATGCAATTAGTATAACAAGAAGGATGTTGTACCATGTAATTTTTGGAAAGCATTCTGTTTTATGTTGTGAAAATCAAATTTAGGATATTGTTTGTACAGTACATGAGAAAGTCCATATCCTGATAGAGTTGCAATTGGATTATAAATGTTATAAAACAGAAGTTTATGTAATTTCTTTAGTATAAAATACAATTAATTGAAAAAATTACTTGGTTTGTATGGCACTTTTTCAGGGAAGGTGGGCATAATAAATCAGTACCGTCCACTGAACTGTTTTTAAGTATCAGTTTTGGATAAGACATTTCAGATAAGTAGCTTGAATTAAAAACCTAGCAAGAGCTAAATCTGTAATATTATGTCTCACAATGAAATAACAAACTGCATTTTGAAATCAGGTCTTCACTGGAATCTTCACAGCAGAAATGTTTCTCAAGATAATTGCGATGGATCCTTACTATTATTTCCAGGAAGGCTGGAATATTTTTGATGGGTTTATTGTAACCCTTAGCTTGGTTGAGCTTGGTCTTGCAGATGTGGAAGGACTCTCAGTTCTTCGATCATTCAGATTGGTAAATATACATCCATTGCACTAATTTTTCAATTGGGCTTCATTAAAATAATATATTTTTTTCCTTAAAAATTTACTTGATATTTGCCATGATACTGATCCCGATGTCTCTTTCATTAGTACAAATCCTTATTACTTGTGGGTAATAGCAATGGGTGCCCTGGGCCTATTTCCAATTTATTTATTATATATAAACACTTTAAACATCCTGCTGTACAGAAACAAACGGACACACTTAGATGTGTTGTGCTCTGATTGGCATCACAGGAATAGATCTGTTCTACAAATACTGGTAGAAAAGTGGCTGAGATGATTTTAACAGATGCACCCTAGATTTTAAATTCTGTCTAATACAACTGTAGTTTCTTTGGCCGTCAGTAAAACTATCCTTTGAGGATATCAAGCTCTAACTTCACAAAATTTTGTCGATTGAACCTTTCATCTTCATGCTTTTAGATGAGAGGATATCCTCTGAGCAGTCATACTCAGAGGACTTTTGCAGTAATATCCTTCCACAAATTAACTTTAAAATATCTTTGTGTCTTTCTTTCTGATTGTCCTAACAATATTTTTCTTTTCTTCCAGTTACGAGTTTTCAAATTAGCAAAATCTTGGCCAACACTAAATATGCTGATAAAAATTATTGGTAACTCTGTGGGAGCTCTGGGTAATCTAACCCTGGTACTGGCCATCATTGTCTTCATTTTCGCTGTGGTTGGGATGCAGCTGTTTGGGAAAAACTACAAGGAATGCGTCTGCAAAATCGCAAGTGACTGTGAACTTCCACGCTGGCACATGCAAGATTTTTTTCACTCTTTTTTGATTGTATTTCGAGTGTTGTGTGGAGAATGGATAGAAACAATGTGGGACTGCATGGAGGTTGCTGGCCAAGCCATGTGCCTTACGGTCTTCATGATGGTCATGGTGATTGGAAACCTAGTGGTATGTAATCAAAACATTAGCAAAAAGTTATTTGACAATAGAATAGGCTCAATCCTGAAGTGAAATAAGTGCTCTGGCTCTGCTTCAACGAAGCACTTAAGCAGGTGGATTCAAGTGATGCTTAAAGTTAAGCTTAAGAGCTTTTTTGGATTGAGAACAAAGTATTCTGCAATATCAAAATCCTAAGAATGTTAGAGTGAGCACTTAGTCACATTCTTAATTTGTCGTTTGGCTCCTCGTAAATATTTTGTGCTTCAAATAATTTTAGTTTATGGACTCTTTATAAACCATTTGCTGTGGATTTTTTTATTATTTATCCCATATAATTAGTCACCTAAATAATCTACTTTCTTCTGTGTGATGGGATAAATTAAACTTAAAATTAATGATGCTGAATAGCAAATTTGTTATCTCTATTTTTAGATTATAAGATTTTGCATCAAAATATTTGTATACTGTGGGGATTTAAAGACACATTCACAGATATTAATCAGTTGTAGGAATCTTATTGAATACTGAATAGGACCTAAGCAAAATTTGAAAAACTCCATTTTTTATGGAGAAGAGAAAAAGTTTTGAGGATGCTTTTCTTTGTTTATGGTGAATTATTGAGATTTCAGTCTTGGGTGTCACTAATATGACAATTTTTAATAAAATAAATGGGTTTTGTTAGCATAAAGTCTAGAATGTCCTTTTTTTTTTTTATCTTCCTGCAGGTACTGAACCTATTTTTGGCCTTGCTTTTGAGCTCATTTAGTGCAGACAACCTTGCCGTGACAGATGATGACAATGAAATGAATAATCTCCAAATTGCTGTAGCAAGAATGCAGAAGGGCATAGATTATGTGAAAAGGAAAGCACGGGAGTTCATCCAAAAAGCTTTTGTTAAAAAACAAAAAGCTTTAGATGAAATCAAACCGCTTGAAGACCTGAACAACAAAAATAGCTGTATTTCTAACCATACAACCGTGGAACTAAGCAAGGACCATGACTATATTAAAGATGCGAATGGAACAACTAGTGGCATAGGAACAGGTAGCAGTGTGGAAAAATACATAATTGACGAAAGTGATTACATGTCATTCATAAACAATCCAAGCCTCACTGTGACAGTGCCCATTGCTGTGGGTGAATCCGACTTTGAAAATCTAAACACAGAGGAATTTAGTAGTGAATCAGACCTGGAAGAAAGCAAAGAGGTATTTAGATATTTTGTGCTATTCTCTCTCATCTTTTGAGTATTTTTCTTTTTTTCAGCATAAGACAATGTATTCAGTTCTTGATCATTCATTATTTTGAAACTTCTTTGTACATGGGCATACAGGCATAAGGCCAAGTACAAGGTCCTGCACAGGGGTCAGAGCAATCCCAAGCACAAGTACAGGCTGAGTGGAGAATGGATTGAGAGCAGCCCTGAGGAGAAGGACTTGGGAGTGTTGGTGGATGAGAGGCTCTACATGAGCTGGTAATGTGCACTGGCAGCCCAGAAAGCCACCTGTATCCTGGGCTGCATCAAAGAAACATGGCCAGCAGGTCAAGGGAGGTGATTCTCCCCCTCTACTCCTTTCTGGTGAGACCCCCACCTGGAGTACTGCGTTCAGCTCTGGGGACCCCAACATAAGAAGGACATGAACCAGTTCGAACAGGTCCAGAGGAGGGCCACAAAGATGATTTGAGGGCTGGAGCACCTCTGCTATGAAGACAGGCTGAGAGAGTTCAGGTTGCTCAGCCTGGAGAAGAGAAGGCTCTGGGGAGATCTTGTAGTAGCCTTCCATTAGTACCTAAAGGAGGCCTACAGGAAAGCTGGAGAGGGACTTTTTACAAGGGCGTGTAGTGATAGGACAAGGGCAATGGCTTTAAGAAGAAAGGGTATATTTAGATTAGATCTAAAGAAGAAATTTTTCCCTCTGACGGTGGTGAAACACAGGAACAGGTTGCCCAGAGAAGTAGTGGATGCCCCATCCCTGGAAGTGTTCAAGGCCAGGTTGGATGAGGCTTTGAGCAACCTGATCTAGTGGAAGGTGTCCCTGCTTATGGCAGTGGGGTTGGAAGTAGATGATCTTTAAGGTCCCTTCCGACCTAAACCATTCTATGATTCTGATTCTATGATAAATGAGTTTATAAAGGACGGTTTAATTCTTGATGAACACAAGTGTGAGAAAAGGTTAAAAATTATAGTCTCCAAGATGAGATAAGTGACCAGGCAATAGGAGACCAAACTAATACACAAGAACTGTTTACGGTCCATACGGTAGTTGCAACAACTGGTAGGGCAGGGTAGGGCAGTGCCTTAGTTACAGTCTTATTCCATCAGAAACTTTTATTTGTGTCCTGTAACAAGGGTCTCATGAAGAACGACGCATATCTTCTCTCTACCACTCAAAAAATCCTCCTTTATGGGATTTTTTTTGTGAGCGGGTATAAACCAGAAAACATAGAGATAGTTTGTGTATTTTTTAGACACTGGACTTCTTTTAGATTTTAAAATTGTCAGCTTTTATAGAGCTAGATTCCCATAAAAACAAGATTTAACCATAGACTCTTCCAAATACTTCAAATTCACTTAGTTGTTTAAACTGAAACGTAGTGTCAACAGTCGAAAATATCTCATGTTGCTAAGGGAATGCCAAAGCAGGCTATAGACATAAAACCTTGTTGAGAACTGAATTTTTAAAAAACATGTTAAGGCTATAACTGTTCCTTTACATGACTTTTCATCTGTGACTATTTTAACAAAATAATTTAAATTTATTTGATAACATAATTTGCAAAACAACCACACCTTCAGTGCCTTACTTTGTCAACATTTTCGTTGAATCAGAAAATTATCTTTCCAGACATTTAACAAAATTAATGTTCTAACTTGAGGAACCTCAGTCTTAAACTAGCTAGTTTCCATTCTGGTAGCAATCCAGTTTGTTTGTGGGATAGCTTATCTTCCCCTGCTGCTGTTGTATTGCTAACAGTACTTCAGACACCTAATTTCAGGCTAGCTGAATTCTGTACTGCCGTCACTTCAGTCTGCACAAGCCGTCTAGTGTTCTCTACAAAAATCAAGTGTTAAGCTAAGTGCATCCTTTGGATCCTCCTCCAAGAAGGGAGACCTGTACAAAACAGCCTCTCCCTATGGCAACTCTTTCAGAGACAGCGTTGTTCCCGTTCCTGATTAATATCTGAAGCATTAATATTTCTTTTCCTGTTAAATATTAGCCAAAATGTCTTATAATTTGGCCTTGACTCAAGCTTCTGAACTGCTGTCACAATAGAGGTTATAAGAACGTATTAGAGCACATTAAGAACTTACTCCAGCAGGACGAATGTTTTCTAAAGAAAATAACATTTTAACAAAGATCCATTGGAAAAAAATTACACTGGTCATCTTCCTCCCCGCAACTACCTTAATGCTGGCCAGTCCAGTCCAGTCTTCCAGCCCATCATAGAGCAGGCATTCAAATGGAGTGACACAAGCTGGTTTATGACTGATAAATGGGGAATAGATTCAGCTTAGGAAAGCTTTCTGTCAATGTGTTGTTACCTGTAGGACCAGGCTTACCTTTTATCCCATTGAACAAGTGCTATGACATTTCTGACTTCCCCCGGAAGCTTATGGAAGAGCAGCTCTGTTATATAGTTTTCTGTGGAAAATACATCCAGCAGTGCTGTTTTGGATCTGAGTCCAACTCCTTATTTTATATTGACTGTCAGTATAACGGGACTGTAGAAAAGAAATGATAAACACCCGAACAGCAGAGCCTTTGAATTAGCTGAGTGTTTCAAGAAAGACCACTTAGAAAAGGCTGTACGGACTCTCCGCTTCTCAGGCCAGAGGGCACCAACAGGCGAGTTCCAGCTGGCTTCAGACTAGATTGAGTTTTTCAGCACCATCCCTGCAGTTTTACAGTGCTGGCCAGAACCCTTCTTTGCTGGTGGGGCCAGCTCTCAAAGTGGGGCATTTCTGGGAGGGGCATTGTTTGATTTATTTTGTTTTGCTTTGTTTTTCAGCTGAGTACTCTTTTCAGCAACAAAACTAATCATCTTCAAATTATAAATTATATTGTTAATTTCAACGAGCTTAATTTTAGTGTGCAAAAAGTAGCTGACAATAATAACACTGATCACGTTATTGGAAATTTGATTAGGTTATGAAACACAATCTGATGCTTTACAGGCCATCTTTAATCTACCTCAGCCTTACTATATGCAGCTTTTTTTTAATATGCATTCTGAGCTAGACTTTCAGCAATTTTAATCTGGACTTGCTGATCTCTAAAGTGTAGCCTTCTCTGCTGATCAGTGCTTTTTTCCCCTCATTCCTCTGAGCTCCCACCTCATTTATATAGTTATATTTAGGCTCTTACCTGCTTTTCAGTAGATGCTACAGATTGCTGCATATAGTTTTAAGCTTCATTATTTCTATGTAGGTCAAGAGATTATTGCCACTTATGGCTAGTTGTGGTCATAAATCTTTGCATGCTTAGCATCATCATTCATATTTTTTAGTATAAAGCATAATTTTGTTTAAAGCATTATCTATCACTGATGCATCTTCCAGTTAGTGGATCCACACAATGCAGAAGGAAAATCAAAGATTGTACAAATTTCACGTTTGTCAGAAATTTACTTATGTTGAATATTAGAACATTCAAAAACATGCCAGAATTATTTACTTAGTCAGAGAACAACTAATATTTGCCTTAAAAATATTTGCTGTGTATTTGTGAGGCTTTGGATTTTTTTTCCTTTTCAGAAGTTAGATTTGTCTAGTTCATCCGAAGGCAGCACAGTCGATATTGGACTTCCTGCAGAAGAGCAACCAGAGGCTGAACCTGAAGAAGCCCAGGAGCCAGAAGCCTGCTTCACAGAAGGTGTTTGGAACAAAAACGCTAATAATACTTATTCATGAAATATGGAATAATTATCTATTTAAACTAAGTATTAATATTTATGTATTGATTGCTCTTTTGTTCAGTTTTGTTCATAGTTATATGATACATAATATAATTGTGGTATCAGTATCTATATGGTAAATTATGGTCTAAAAGTACTACCTCTAATAATCAAAACTATGATTATGCTTCTAAAAGTACTACCTCTAATAATCAAAACTATGATTATACTTCTAAAAGTACTACCTCTAATAATCAAAACTATGATTGTTAGAGGTAGTACTTTTAGACCATAATTTACCATATAGATACTGATACCACAATTATATTATGTATCATATAACTAATTAAGGAAACATTTTATCATAAATTTATCATTATTTCTAAAATAAGAAAAAAATGAAATTTTTATTTTAGTACGAACTACTGTACTTTCTGATTTTAGTTATAGTCTCCTAGATAATAAAATAACACACTATTTTATAAAACTCTTCATAGGTATCTATCAAAGTGCTTTATAAAGTATACATTACTAAAACAGCTGTTGAGTGGTAAATAACAACTGCACCTGGATGGTTTTATGGAAAATGCTAAATGAACTTTCCAGAAATTGGCAAAAAGAAGAAAGAGCCTTTATGTACCACCTGGTGCAAGTCTCACCTGCTGGAGTCATCCATCTTTCATGCTTCCTTCTATTGGCCTTTTTATACAGCTCAATAAAACAAGAATCTGGTCATAAACTTTATTTGCAAAGGCATTTCCTTGTGAGAAACCTTACGGATGTGTGCATGTAAAGGAGATAGGGAAAGGAATAGGTTTAAAGCAGTAATGTAAGGATACAAATACCATTTTTGATATTTGTAAGCAAAAGTTAGATTTAGAGTTTGGAAAATAAATGCTACTGTCAGTGCTGGGGTTGGGTTATTTCTGGACATGATAACAGACGTTTCTCTGGAAATTTACACGGAACTAGTAAGAAGTAGTACTGTAACAGTCTTGGATTTGGAAAAAAAAACCACATTATTGTTATTATTTTTTTATCTAAATGAAAGAAGACACAAAATCTAGACTGCAGCTAAATCGTAAAAGCTTAAATAAATTAAGGGCACAAGTTACAGAAGTTAGCTGGTACTCAAAAGCTCAGAACTCAGACAGGAGTCTTGGAAATTATTCATACAATAAATGCAACATTGTCCGAATTTAGTATCCCAAATAAAAGAAAGTACAATTTAATAACACTTGCCCATGTTTTACTACATAAACCTACTATCCATTTGGATGAGTTTGTTTAATTTTACTCATACTTTGCATGTCATAATTTGGCTTCATGTTCCATAGTCTTTTATCTTTTTGTGTGCACTGTATTGAGCACTTAGTTCTCGATGAATGAGGAATACTTTCTTCTCGCTTGTTGATTGAATTGTAAATTCCAGTTGTCTCAGTGTTAATTTTTTTTTCTTTGGAGAAAAAGATTATTATCTAGGTGAAAATATATTCGTTTTTTACTAAATAACATAGCTTCTGGAAAGGTAGCATTGTATTATTAATAGAATGCATAACCAAAATTAATGCAATTCAACAAAACATCTTTTTTTTTTTTCCTCCTCAATACATACACTGTTTTAAAGGCTGTGTACGAAGGTTCAAGTGCTGCCAAGTAAGCATAGAAGAAGGGAGAGGAAAGCAGTGGTGGAACCTTAGAAAAACCTGCTTCAAGATTGTCGAACACAACTGGTTTGAGACTTTCATTGTCTTTATGATTCTCCTCAGTAGTGGAGCTCTGGTGAGTAAAACATGAACAGTGTCACAATTTTTCACAAAAATTCTGAAAAGTTGGTTCTTCAAACATTGTTTTAACTAAGTTTTCTCCACCAGAAAGAACACACAATTCAAACGACAGGATTAAATTTTAGGCAGGCCTTTGAAAGAATGGTAGAAAAAAATCTCAACAATATGTAGAAAAAAAGAACAGATTAATTGATCTAAGTCTAATTCATTAGAGAGAGCTTAACTCCTTCGGTGAAAGTGATAGTGATACACCTGAAGCAGAGAGAGGGACAACATGCAAAGAAGAGAACATATTTAACTTTGTTATTTGAGTTTGCTCTCGAGTTTTACACGTGTTTACTAATATAACTCAGGGAAAAGAACTGTCACTTATGAAAAGAGTTTGGAAGTAACTGTAATAGCATAAACAGCTCACAACACCTTGCAAGAGCCAGAGCTGGCTTATACAATCTTATAAATGTTATGTGCTAGAACAGAGAGAAAGATTAAGACTGTGTGTTTTTAATTATTCCCTTCTAAGAAAAAGAATTTATTATTTATGCTTCTAATAAATAAGTAAGCGTGTCAGATCCATTTGGATTTTCATGAGTCTATTCAGTCAACTTTATGGCAGTTCCTAATTTAAAGCTCGTTTCAATTTACACTACTTCCTTTGATTTAACTAATGTTTCATGCTATTGTGCTGATGTATAATTGCAGCTGTTAATCAAATCTGCTTAAATTAGTAGATTTCCTTCTTGGAGTTACATGGCAGCAGGAAAAAACTTGGTACTTAATGATTTTTTTTTTTTTTAATGAAAAGGATTGTATCTGAAATTCTTTACATTGAGGGTGGTGAGGCACTGGAACAGGTTGCCCAGAGAGGTTGTGGATGCCCCATCCCTGGAGGTGTTCAAGGCCAGGTTGGATGAGGCTTTGGGCAACCTGGTGTAGTGGAGGATTTCCCTGCCCATGGCAGGGGGGTTGGAACTAGATGATCTTTGAGGTCCCTTCCAACCCTAACCATTCTATGATTCTATGATTCTAATAGAGCTTCTACTGACTCATGCTCATGTAGCCTAAAGGGATAACTGTAAAAACATGAATTTACTTTAAGGTAGCAAGTACATGAGGGCAGAATAAAAAGAAGCCAACCAATATAAATCTATAACAATAAAAGAAAGAAAACAGACCAATAATATGTTATTTCACACTAATATATAGATACACACTAAGTGTATCTAGTCATCTAGTTGTCACAATAAACTGAAGCTTCTTAGGCAAACTACTCGCCCTGAGATAATGTGGATTATATCTGTCATCTACCAAGGTAGATGCAATTACCCTTTGGTAAATTACTTAAGTTCGTACATCATAAAACAAAATTGTGTTGCAGAATTGTATTATAAACTCTTTAGACCACTCCCAACACTTCAAAATACCCTTAATGGTTAGCAGTTTATGAATATACTTATCATTAGTTCTGTTTGGTCTAATATCAACACAACCATCAAATAAGCAACTTTTACTCAACACCATGTGACACCTTCCCGGTGATTCAAAACCCTCAAAATAACAAAGACTCATGTCTACACTATTGAAATATAGTTCATGCTACCAAGGGGAGAAAGCCTTTAGTGGCAAGAATTTAAGTGAAATAAAAGTACTGGCAAGAGATCTGATGAAGGTGAATTTCCATCACTGTATTTAAAGGAAGTTTGAGATGAGATCCCACAGTTCTAGCATCTCGTGCTTGTGAACCTAAGGTGTATGTCATCCGCAGAACACTTATTTTATGAAAATGCTTCAGAAACCAGGGATTAGCTCAAGCTTCTGGAGATGTGAGACCCTGCTCTGCTTTCAACTTCCTTTCTGTTAGTGAAAAGGTCTCTTTGTAACTGCCAGTAATGTATCCCAATGTTCACTCCAAGGTCACGCTCCAGATGAGTCTCATTAGCATTACGGCCAGGAGATCTGGCAGGCACAGGCAGACCACAGGCTGCCTGCGTCCTCTGCCACAGGCGCGTTCGGGCAAGGAGCAGCCACACTTTGAGCTGCCAGGAGTGCTGCTAGCTTGGCCTCTGCTATATTCCCACCTATAAGAAGGAAACGATACGTGTTGGCTTTTCCCAGTTTTGTGAGATAAAGTTGTTAGTGATTACACACGAGTTTCGGGTGCCATAGTGCTTGATCTAAGTGTCCAAAATTACTGATCATAGACTCGTAGAATAGTTTGGGTTGGAAGAGACCTTAAAGATCATCTAGTTCCATGCACCTGCCATGGGCAGGGACACCTTCTACTGCATCAGATTGCTCAAAGCCTCATCCAGCCTGGCCTTGAACATACACAGATGTTTATTCAATGATTGTTAGATAATCACTGATCATTTGAACTGACAGATGTAAAGCGATTCAAAAGCAGGCTGGGTAAAAATGAATGTTAGCATCAATAAATATCCGAATCTTTGCAAGCTAGCAGATCATTCCAGTCCTTTCGATCCAGTAAAATCATTGGTTCTCCATAAGAAATAATAGCATAATTAAAATTTAAAAGCAATTAAAGGGAAAATTTCTTGGAGGATAGGAAGAATTTCTGAAAAGCAGAAGCTGTATGTTTTTTTCAAATAACTAAAAATGAAAACACAAAAAAAAGTGTAAATAACTTTGCAAGGATCTCAGAAATTGTATGTATCTCCTAAATAGGAATAATACAGTAAGAAAGATACTTTATTTAGATAAAGTAATACTTTTTTAAAGAAAGGAAGAACTTGTTTTGTAATTTATTATTTAAAATTTTCAAAAAGCCACAGGACTTAAAAAGAAAAGGTCAGTTGTATTGTCATTGTCCTGAAAATTTTACAGCTGTGGCTCTGGATTTTGAAAATGTATCTACCTACATACAAACCAAATGATCTCAGTAGAATTTGATTCAGGCACACCACTCTGCAAAATTAATGCTATTTGTGAGTACTGAAAATGATCTGATAAGAATAATTCACCATCAGTAATAAATTAATAAACTAAAATCCCTGACCAGTGAAGTGGTTGCTGTGTATAATATCTGCTTCTCCCTCCTGTGAGCTGAAAAATGTAGTTCCATAGGGGAAGAAAAGTTATATACCGAATTAGCAGAAAAGGAAACATTAAAGTGACACTCCCAGCCTTTTCTTGAAGAAAGATTCTTAGCTTTTTGGTTTTGTTTTTGTTAAAACCTGATGTGTGTGCAGCAACAAAATGGAATAACAAATATCTTTGAATATTTTTACTCACAGGCTTTTGAAGACATCTATATTGAACAGCGTAAAACTATCAAGACCATGCTGGAATATGCTGACAAGGTCTTCACTTATATCTTCATTCTGGAAATGCTGCTAAAATGGGTGGCCTATGGCTATCAAACATACTTTACTAATGCCTGGTGCTGGCTGGACTTCCTGATTGTTGATGTATGTGGTATATTTCCTAGGCGTTACTTTTATATTTATCTGTTTGGTTTTTTTTTTAATTACTTACTCTACAACCATAATATCTATGCATACCAACTATTTTACAATTTAAAAAAGTAAGGTAGATGGAAAAAATTCTGTATTTCCCTGTCTTTCACTTTATACTTACAACACTGCCTTCCTATACCACAGAGTTGAGAAAGACTGGATGTTCTCCTGCTAACAGAAGAACCTCACATGGTAGCCCCACAAGCAGTCAAAGAGTTTGTCCCAACACTGCTGTTGAAAGAGGTCATGCTGTCTTCCATTCTGCCCTTGGCTGCTCTTTCTCACCTTCAGACGCGCCTTCCCCCCTGCTGTGGTCTAAGTCACATCCAGCATTTAGATGGGCGTCTGGTCCATCAGACACATCTGAATTAAAACTCCTCTGGCAAGATAACAAACATCATGTCCACAAATTTCAGCACATGGGTGAATTAGGGTTTTACAAAGAATGCAAGATGTCTCTGTAGCATTAGTAGTGTGGCTTGCTTAGTATTAAGTCCAATAAATATTACTGAACCTGCAGTCTTCACAGCCAGGCTCAATAATCTCTCCTGCAAGGGTTATCTCCTGGTTATAACTCTTCTGTGCTGTGCTGTGAAATGTGAGAGGCCATTTCCTGGTGCATTGATACAATTGTGGAGAATTTAAGATGTCCTAAGTATACCCCCTTGAGAAAACCTCCCATGTGCAGAAACACATACTTTTTCTGCAGTCTGTGACATTCTGTGTGTGAAACTGAAACACTATGTTTTACATAGCTACGAAACCACAACCAGTCACTACATTTTTTGGGTAGAAATTTCTGGTAAAAGTTATAGGAAAAAAATTAAAGCTCAGTTTTAAAATTAAGATGCATTCTGTCCTGGTTTCAATGACTTAGAAACAGACACTGAATAGGTAAAAGGTGAACTTCATAAGCAGTTATTGACCCAAAGAATTGCTAAAAATCCAACAGTTTCTGAATATTTTCCCAGCATATATGTGCTAATCAAAGCAGTTCATTTTCTCAAGTCTTGTTGTGTGACTGGTGCCTACAACATTTTTGATTGGTATACATTATGGATTAAATATATCTAGGATTTAACGTTACATATACAGCTCCAGATAACCATGTTCAAACATAGTACACATATGAAGAAAGTACCCTCTCTTTGGAAAACAATTTTGTTCTTTAGTATCTAAATTCTTCTCAAAATGAGTACCTAAGTGGCCCCTATGACAATAAAGCTTGAAGAAGCATGCAAGCAGAAGCACCTGCTCATTTTCTAAACTCATTTTCACTAATATTTGACCTTATTTAAATGATAATATCCCAAACAGCTGTCTTGTGAACATGAAAAATTGATACTTCTTTGTGTGAAGGTTTAACACATATTCAAGTGTCTGAATAAGTTCATTGTTAAATCCTGAATTTACACACCTGGATATTTTTTTTAGTTTAGCTTTAGATTGTGGCAACTTGAAAGCTTGAAAGTTTTCAGTAATATGATGAATGTGCTGGAGAAAGAAATTTAGATTTCAGAAGAACCTAGTTTTGTGAGTTGCTAGAGCTCAGGATTGACAAGTACAGAAAAGCTATTAATTTTCAAAAGCTAAAGATTTCATATATAATGCTTGATTTTAAATATGTTCATAAAGAGCACTGTCCTAGAGTTGTCTTTACCTGGTGCATTGTTCTTTATAATGGAAGAGTATATGGTACCATTAGGCTATTTTGGGCCCAATAAATAGTTAAGGTAATAGAATGGTGTAATGAAGGAGCATTTATGGTAAATAGGAATAGAAGGTAATATTTTGGACAGGTGCCATAGCAAATGTAGAGAATATGGTATTTCTCACTGAGGTAATGTATGGACATAGATTATGTAAAGGCCTGTGGAGTTCTGCTGCGTATGGAACTGTTCTTATAAGGTCTTTAAGAAACAGTATAATCCAGGTTAATGTCAGCCTGTAGAGTGCATAAATTCAGCAATCAGACAAAAGGATTAGTCAGTGTAACTCAATATAGAAAAATTAATCCTTTCTACCAATTTCCAGAGGAGCAATGTTTCTCTGTGATCCATCTGTTAATTCAAAACAGGCTTCAATCATTTCCCTTTCAGTTGTGGACAATCAAATGGGCATTATCAACTGTAACTGCTGATCCCAACTGCATTGTAAAACAAAGAAAAAGTGAGAGTGATACCTAAAATGGTAAAAAGGAGAGATTAATTTAATTTACGTTTTGTGGTTTTAAATGCCCTCAAATCACTAGTAAAATACAAAATTCAGAAATATTACTGTTTCCAGATATTGTTAGCTTATGATGTTTTTGTTTATTTACCTGTCCTACTCTTTTTTCATATTACTTCTTCTTTTTTTTATTTAAAAGACTTCCTATTCCTGAAGAAAGTGGTCCAAAATTAGATTCTTCTAAAGAAGTTTGTATCTCACATCTATGGTATGTAAAGTAATATGTACAATATAGTAATTTTTACTTTCCTGTTTTCATATAGGTCTCTTTGGTTAGCTTAACAGCAAATGCATTGGGTTACTCTGAACTTGGTGCCATTAAGTCCCTTAGGACACTAAGAGCTTTGAGACCACTAAGAGCTTTGTCACGATTTGAAGGCATGAGGGTAAGACAACACGAAAGAATCTGAAACTATGCATGCATAGAAAGAATCCATGCATGCAGAATAAGGAATGACAAGTCCATGCAGAAAGGCTGCACTATCTTTTTATCTATTGCATATCTTTTACTAACAGATAAGCAAAAAGCTTCATCGAATCACCTAAATCCATACGCAGTATCACATAGAAGTTACATTCATTAAGGTTACTTTACTTTCTAGCCAATCTCAGGAGTTTTCCATATAAGGCTTTGAAATTACCAACTACGAACACTCTTAATAATCAATAAAATGTAACAAGATTTTATTACTATTTTACTGATAAACATATCACAATATTTATACAGGAATCTAATTTAGCATTAGTTAATGAAGATATTTTCTGTTTACCAGTTGAAATCCTTCCTTTTTCTTCAAATTTTATAAATTACCTTTGGTCTAACCCCACTGAATTTTACTAGGTGATACTACAAATATATTCATACCCACTAGTGGTTTAAATCTATTTCTGAGTTTGGCTGATTTTAAAAACAAATCAATTTATTTGATTTCTCTTTGAAATTATTCTTTTTCTAAGGTAAATGCTTTTCTTATTTCAACAAATTTCTATTCAATATTTAATACAATGTATATAAGGTTATTTTTTACTTATTCTGAGTAATTTAAAGGCCCTGCTTACTATTCATCTCACTAAAGAAAGCATTTTAACTTATTTTTTCATTTGTTTATACCTTCTGTTTCTTGAAGCCACTGAATACAAACTAACTCTATATGCATGTCATTGAAATATGTTTTAAGAGAATGCTTTTTGCTACTTCATAAGAGGAAACAATGCGCTAATGAATTTCAAGTCAATTATAAACCAGTGGAATAGCCTGGCATATACTGACTGAACAACCTTTAGACACAAATCTAAGCTTAATCAAGTCAAATTGAGGCTTAGAATTCTGTTCCTTAAATTGTACTCATCAGGCTACATATCTCTACTTCAGAATGCATCAGAAAAAAATATTGCTAACCAATGATTACTAGATTACTAAATTTAAGTTTCACATACCAAATTGACATTTAACAGTTTTCTCATCATTTGGAATTCATGAATTGATATTCAGCAGGGTAAGAGCTGGTCAAGTACTAGAGAATGTACGAATTTTCATTTAAGTTCGGAGTAACCATTTGATTTAGCCATTTTCTCTTTGTCTTTCTTTATACTTACTGTTCATGAACATTCAGATAAATGTGACTTTTGTGCAGAGAAATGTTGGGCAATTACTGTCAGCTTTACTTTTTTAATAATGTTCTGGTCAGCTGCAGGAGGACTGGGAGACCAGTACAGAAGTTACATAGGGACAAGAAATGCAACTCTTTAGATGACGTTGAAAAAAAACCAGATCATTTCTAGAATGACAATGTCAAAATTGATTGCCAAATGTTTTATTCCATTCTTCTGTATCCTTGCATGATTGCCTTCATAAATTTTAAACTTAACACATTTAAGATAATCATGCTCAAAGAAAAGTACCTGTTGTTTGAAATCTATTTACTGCTTTCCCTTATTTCTCACTGAGTAACTATGAAACTATGCCAGAAGCCCAATCATATGATAGAATTTCAGATACACAACACGAATAATTCACGAGCAACTTATTGTGTAGGAATCACAGAAAAGCCTGGAAAAGCAAAAAAAAATTCAGCTCTGTCCTCCAATATTAACGATAATCAATGAAGTACCTGATTCCAGTCACTTAGCAAATTTGACTGGCCAACTATATAGGCCTTATCTTTACTATTGCTTACATGTACTTTTGAAAATATTTTTCTCCAAAGCACTTGGCAAGTATTCACAACAGCTTATTGACAGACAGTAGCATTACTTTATGAATGACTCACGAACAGTAAAAAGATTCAAATAACAAATAATTGACCAGCTCATGATAAGACTATAGTCAAATTACAGTCTTCTCAGAAACTGAGTTCATCGCATAAAAATCCATAAACCAGATTATTTTATCTGCCAACAGAAAGTAAAACTTTATCAACCCTCTTTGCTTTCTTATATTGCCTATACCTACACTGAGCTGTGACAAACAAAGCTGAGTTTTTATTCAGCATGTATTTATAATTTTAATATTTACCCCCATGTTCAAAACTGTGCACTTTTTGCCTTGAAAATACAAGAGATCACAAAAGTCTCTGTATGTAAAAAGTTCTGTGTCATTTTGTAAAACAATCTGCTAAGTTCTCAGCTACTTTAAATCAATCTTTTTCTTAAATAAGTTCACCACTTTGGTGAATTGGAAAAATACAGCATTTTACATACAGTAAATACTAATAACTATTTTGTTATCCCTAAATATGAAACATACTTCACTTTTCAAGTTACATCCTTGTAAGTCTATGGTTATACTCTGTACTTACAACTTAATTTTGTAATTATGCTGTTTCATAAATGGGATAAATTCTCTTTCCAAAGTGAATATAAGATATATGAATCACTTGCACCAAAACAGACTGCAAGTCGTCCATAGCTTGTGCTTGCCTTGAGCACAGAAGTGAATTTTTCTATATTAAAAGCATTTAAAATATTTTCTAGTATACTGAATTCTGAGAAATGCTAGTACTTTCTATAGTGAATCTCAAAAAATGACTCCACCTAAATGCTGGAAGGCAAAGTAAAGAATTGCTTTAATTTAATTTAAATTTCTGTCTTAAGGTTTATATTCTTATCTCAATTAGTGTACATACTGAGCAGAAGTATCTGCAAACTGAGATTTGAATATACCCACAGCTTTTTGTTTAGCTTTTTAGTACTTGCAATATAATGCTTTTGCGCTAGTTCTGAATTGGTATGCTACTTGTAAATGTAGAATATTGGGTATACATTGCTTTGCTGAGTTAGAGAATTAAGTGACAATAAAGCATGTGTTTGTTTCTAATTTCACAAAAGAAAGCATGTCATGCCGTGCTTGATTTATTTATTAGAGAAATAGTAGAAGGCAGCAAACAATCTGAAATCCACTTGCACTTTCAGTTTTGCATGCCTTATGCATATTTCTGGCTGATGGCTTTAAACATTTACTGTATTTCAAATTTCCAGTCCAATTTCATAACTTGTAAAACTAAATTAGAGTATTTGATGTCTTAAATATCCCCTAAAATTCAATGGCTATTCCTTAGATTCCCTCACTAGGAAAGTGATAATGAGGCATTTTCAACAGTATTCCAAACATCATTAGTAGGAAAGAAACATTTCTCATATGATTAAGTTATAAAACATAACATCAAGTGTCTGTCATTACAGATTCACAACTAATAACAGGCTATATATTTCTATTTCATATAGGATAACCTTTCTTCAGCTTGGATGGGGTGGACCACTGGTTCCTCCCCTTCTCTGTATTATGGGTACAGTATTTCCCCCTTTTCTACCCTTAATGATTTCAGTGTGACTGATCACTACATTGTATATTTAGGATTAGAAGGAGAGACCATCTCATTTGAGAATCCCAGTAACAGCAAAACTAGATTATATATATTCACCCTACACCCCCTTCTTAATTGCTTCAAATCTTTAGAAATAATCCTTTGAAATTTCTGTTGCTACGGAAATAACATGAAAACTTTTAAGAAAATCAGTATTGTTATTTAGTGTTATATGAGTTCTTTTTGCAGGAGAAGGGTACCTCAGCTATTTTTTAGATTTTTAGATGCTTTTTTAACCGAGATAAAAAATGGCTTTCTTTAAAAATTTGAATCTAGCTTTTACATTGTTTTGGAAAGATCTCTGCTTTACACTGTTACTCAATTTATAGGTACATGCATTCAAAAATATCTCAGAGAAAGTTTTGAACATTATTTGTAATACATTAAGCACACACCAAAACACTATGATCTGAACAATCACAACTATAGATATTTATGTAATTTCAGTTTAAATTTTTGAATAATTTTTAAACTCCTATATGTTACATAAAGTAAATCACTCCAAGTGTATATAGATAACATGACACATCATAGAACATATATCATCCTTTCTCGGAATCTGAATTCACTTTTCTTTGGCCTGTGTTGGAAACTAGTTTTTCTAATGTTTATAAAATGCCAGTAAAAGTATTATTTTTGTAGTATCTTTCTTGGAGTTTAGAAATGTCCTGCAGGAGACATGCCAGTGATACAAAAAATTTGCATTCACTATCAGATCCTTAGAAATCCAGTTCTTAGACTACAGCCCTTGCAAGCACCAGCTGTAGGAGTGTATCATCAGTGCAGGGGTTTTTATAGTTCAGTGTAAATGATGTATCAACATAAATAGCATTCACTGTAAATTTAGCATCTTATCTCACAGTTAAGAACTATGTATTCACTCTCAAGAAAGTGTATTCACTATTTTCTGCAAGTTTCTCTTAAATATAGAGAAATACATTTTGTGCATTAAAAGATTATGCACTTGAAGGATTTTTTGAGGACTGTGATCTTACTCATTACCTATGAGTTTTAAGGAAAGTCTGTTAGAAGTGTTATGTCTCCTGAAAGACAATTAAAAGATTTAAAAACTTCAATGTAAGAAGACTCTGCATAAACGTTCCTAAATCATACAGGAAATATCAGTATTTTGAGATTTTTCTTAGCCTGTAATTCTACAATTAGAGGATAACTTTGAAGGAGTTTCTTATGCACTTGAAACTGATAATGATTTTTGTCTTGATTTGTGTTTGTCATATCTTGAAGAAAATTCTTAGGATCAAAATGTAATGAAATTTGAATGAGATACATAATATAGTTTACATTTTAATTAAAAATGTTAAAGAACAAATAAAGGTCAATAACATTTAATTTATGCAACAGGAAGAGCAACAAGTTGGGTTTTTTTCACCGCATCTGGTGAAATACAAAGATATTGTTCCCATATCAAGTAATCTGCTTTCATGCTGATGTTTATTTACAATATTTACCAACTCTTTCAAACAAACACAGCTATATGATTTATTGCTTGGCAGATAATTATT